ATGGAGGTTTTTTTCAGATAAACAGAAGCTGCGAGATTTCATGCCCAATAGTCCTGCATTCCAAGAAATACTAAAGGAAGTTCTCACAGCAGAAGTTAAATAATACCAGCTACCAGAATGAAGTTTGGATCTATACAAAGCAATGAAAAATGCCAGAAATGATGGGTAGGTGGGTCAATACATGACAGTTTGTCTAACGTTTAGATATTCTTTAAAAGCTATTTGTTCAAAGGAAAAACAATAAAAACTTGTTGTGGTGTTTGCAGCATATTCAGAAACAAAGTCCTTTAGGACAATGAGTGGTGGGTAGGGAACGGAAGCATAAGGCTCTTTCAGTATAAGTGAAAGGGATATTACTTGAAGGTAGACTGTGATAAATGAAAGAAGTATGTTGCAAAAGCTACAGCAGCCACTAAACAAAAAATAAAGAATTATAGCTAATGAGCCAATCGTGGAGATTAAATGTAATTGTAAAAATTCAGTAACCAAAGAACAGATGTGATAAACGGAAAACAAAAGTAAGGTGGTGGATCGAAGCCAAACTATTGAATGTAAATGTCCTAAACATATCAATAATCATGCAGAGATTAAGATAAGCCCCCACTGAAAATAAAATGGGAAAATTTGAGATTACTATATAGCAACCTGCTGAAAAGAATTCTAAAAGAATTCTAAAGGAATTGCTAAATGTATATGAGAGACTATAAAGCCCTAATATAAGGCTATTTACCTCATGAATGTTGTTTAAGATTCTATTTGGGAGGAATTTGCACAAATGTTAGAGAATGAGAAATCTGAAAATTTGGAAGGAATGCAGTTGTTGTTTTGTTTTATTGTGATTTCCAGCATCATAATGTGTTAAAGATTGGGTGGTGATCATTTTTATAATTTTAGATTTTGCCTGTAGCTAAGCGGGAGGAAAAAAGAAATAGTTCATCTGTTCCATTGTTGGGATACTTTCCAGATATGTTGAATTTCCAAGCAAGGCTCTTGACTTAGAATAGCTTCTAAAATTGAAAGTTTTTGGACTGTTGAGAATTTCTTGACCAGCTGCTTGGCAGCTAATGGATGATAGATTCAAAGATTTTTCGAAGGATTTTTTTTTTTTTTTTTTGGTAGCGAAGTAAACAGATTTAAACATTTGGCTAAATAGTATAGTTTGGACTGAATATAAATGACACAGAATGAATCTTAATTGGTTTTATATTCTGGGAGCTATGGAAGTATGGTCTAGCAGTCTGAGATTAGGAACACAAGCCAAAATTATTAAAATTCTCTGGCTACAAAGATATTAGTTACTTTGCCTTCTAACACTTTCTTACTTGCATTTCCTGAATTTTTATCTTTCCTGAACATCATAAAATTTTGTTTCTTAATAGTTCATCTGCCCCGATAAAATCCAATATGGATGTATATTGCAATTCCAAATGTTCTTTTCTCAAAATTTTAAGTTTCTCTCCATTTGGAGTCTTAAAATGAATCACAATTTTCAGAGGAATGAGACTTACACTTCATGACTTGTTCACAGCGTTTAGAAAGCTGTTATTAAGACGTGTCATATTTACCTTTTAACTACTTTTTTTTTCATTTTTTTTAACGTTTATTTATTTTTGAGACAGAGAGAGACAGAGCATGAACAGGGGAGGGTCAGAGAGAGAGAGGGAGACACAGACTTGGAAATAGGCTCCAGGCTCTGAGCTGTCAGCACAGAGCCTGACGTGGGGCTCGAACTCAGGGACCGTGAGATCATGACCTGAGCCGAAGTCGGACGCTTAACCAACTGAGCCACCCAGGCACCCCTTAACTACTTTTTAAATTCCCTGCTATTTGCCAGCTATTAACTAGGTGCTGGTAGTTACACCTTGAAGAATTGTTACAGCCATCAAAGATGTTACACTCCTTGCAATGACCTCTTTAGGCCATTGTAAGACATGGGACACTGCTGTCATAGGCAAAATGAGTTTTGAAAATGATTTTCAATCCTTTTTTTTTTTTTTTTACACGTAAATTCTACAAGTGAGTAGGCTTTTAATTATGTTCTTAATTTTAAGAAATCTACCATGGTTTCACTCACGCTTGGGCTAATTGCAGCAAGATCATAATAAATCAATTATTTCAAGATTTAGGGGTAAAATCAACTTATAGTAAAAAAACGAACAAACAAAAAAACCATGCAGGGCGCCTAGGTGGCTCAGTTGGTTGAGCATCTGACTTGACTCAGATCATGGTCTTGTAGCTTGTGCGTTCGAGCCTTGCCTCGGGCTCTGTGCTGACAGCTCAGAGCCTGGACCTGCTTCAGATTCTGTGTCTCCTTCTCTCTCTCTCTCTCTCCCTGCCCCTGCTTGTGCTCTCTCTCAGAAATAAATGAATAAACATAAAAAAAAAAAAACATGTTATTTAACTTTGGGTGAACAAACTACAGTTTTCTGCAACACACATTCTAGCAAATATGATTTCCTGTAACAAATATCTTTGGCGACAAGTTTCAAGTAGCAGTTCTTGGAATCCTCATTACAAACTATGTTACAGGAAATACTTTGGCTTTGGTGGTGAGCAGACATCGACATATGGACTCAAAATATATATTTTTAGATGTATAGTATATATAGCCAGACATATTACTTTGTTAAGGGAAAATTAAAAAATAATTCTGCAAGTCTCAGTCTTTAGCGCCTTGATTAAAAGGAAAGTAAAAATGAAATAAATAGCTTCGGCAACTGGTCATCATCTGTGAAGTAAAGTTACCGCAAAAATCAATTTAAGTACATGTTTCTTTAGTATTTCAACTGACCAGCTTCTCTTTCCGTGTGAATTCTTTTCACCCAGTGCAAAGTGACAACAGTGTGATAAGATGACACTTACTAAAATGCCTTCACTAAAGAGACTGTTTTTAGGTACCTGGCATGTAACTTTTTAATGTCTAAGTATGAGCAAACTTTTTGCAATAGTAAAGTATGAAAAAGTAAATAATCACAGTTCATAAAGCACACGCATGATTATTTTCTCTCATACATGATAATGTCTGATAATGTCGATGTTGTTCTCATTGCTTTTTTTATTCTTCAAGACATTATAAGAAAGTATAAAACTAAGTTTCTTAGATGGCTTCCATGATTTGTCATCTTTCTTTTTTAGCAATTTAATTGAAGTGTTTCTGATCGATTCAGATTAAAGAAGAAAGAAAACAGAGTTGATTATTCTTCAACTGGCAGGACATCATTGTAGAAGACAAAAGACAAAATATAAGTAGACTTAAATGTATGCTAACTAATATGTAATTATTCACTAATCTTTTTCCTAATTGCTAACAAGGCATAATGGCTAAGTTAGTGATTATTTTCTGAAAAAAAAAAACCCTTTTAATACTTCTTAGAAAACAGGGAATCATGGCTTATAGCTTCTGGCTTCAGTTTAATGTCTATCTGTGACCAAATTAGAGAATATGAAGTTCATGAATTCCTTTTCCTCACTGCTGTGACTAAGATGACAGCTTCTGGAACTAGACAACTAGCTGCAAAGTCTTGTCTCTAGCATAGTGTTTTTCTAAACCCACTAGCACTCATGGGAAACCTATCTAAGAGTAATGTTTTTAAGCATGTAAAATAAAATTTATGGGATTACAAAAGGAATCAACTATAAAGACACAGAGATACAAAAGCTTTTTCAAGATGTATTCTATTACATTGCATGTGCTTCCTGAGTACATTATGTAACAACGCAGTGCACTTAAACATATGAGGGATAAAATTAATTTTATTTATTGATGCATAATTTGCATATAAACCGCATAGATTTTAAGTATACAGTTCAGTTAGTTTTGATAAATATATACATTTGCGAAACCAGAACCTCATGAAGATATTGAATAGCTTAGCCTTTGCTATTGTAAATTGGAATTATATAGTATGCTCTCTTTTGTTCCTGTCTTCTTTTGTTCGGTATAATGATTAATACTTGCTATCAGCATATTGCTGGGTAGTATTCCATTGCACGGATATACATGATTTGTCTACCTATTTTCACTGTTGTTTATGAACAATTGGGTTGCTTCTAGTTTTTTGGCCATTACAAATAAGGCTTCTGGGTGCCCGGGCGGCTCAGTCAGTTAAGCGCCTGACCCTTGATTTCAGCTCAGGTCACGATCTCCAGATTGTGAGATTGATCCCCAGGTCAGTCTGAGTGTGAAGCCTATTTAAGATTCTCTCCTTTCCTCTCTCTCTGCCCCTCCCCTGTCTGTACACTCTCTGTCTTTCTCAAAAATAAATAAATAAAAAAGAAATAAATATAAATAAATAAAACTTAAAGTTTAAAAAACCAATCAAACAAGGCTTCTATGAACATTTTTGCATGCATCACCTTGGTCACATGTATTTTACAGATCTTGAGTAAATTTCTAGTGGTAGAATTGCTGGGTAGATATAGGGAACTTAAAGGAAACTGCTTAAGAGATTTCCAAAGTGGTATTGCCATTTTACAATCCCATCAGCAAGTATGAACTGCAAATTATTTCTTCCCCTTGTGAACACTTGACATTGTCATTAAAAAAAATTATCCATTGTAGTAGTTGTAGAGTGGTGACTTATGGTGGTTTTCATTTGCATTTCCAAGATATCTCGTGAGTATTTCATGTGCTTGTTGTCCAATTGCATATCCACTTTAGTGAAATGGCTATTCAAATCTTTTGCCTATTTCCTTATTGTGTTATTAAGGTCCAATTTTTTTTCTTATGGTTTTTTAGCTGGTTTAAGAAACCTTTGCCGAATCCAAAGTCATGAACATGTTCTCCTGTATTTCCTCTTAGGAGCCTAATAGCTTTAGCTTTTGCATTTAGGCTCAAAGCAATTTTTGTGGGTGGTTTAAAGCTAAGGTTGAGGTTAATGCTTTTTCATAGAGGTATCAAAGTGTTCTAGAACACCTGCTGAAAACAAAACAAATTAAGGGGGAAACAATAACCACTCTCTTCTGCATTCTATTACCTTGGCGACATGGTTGAAGACCAATTGAATGTGTATGTGTAGGTCTACTTATGGACTCTCTGTCCTGTGCTTTTGTGCTCTGTGTCTATCACTTTGTCAAGTGCCACACTGCCTTTATTACTGGAGCGTGAGACTAATTCCAAAATCAGATGGTGTAAGTACTCCAGCTTTTTAAATTATTTTTCAAGATTGTGTTGGCTAGTTCAGATGTTGTGGATGTCAGTGTAAATTTTTACATTAGCTTGGAAATTTCCACAAATATCTCACTGGAATCTTAACTGGGGTTGTATAGTCTTAACAGGAATGTGGGGAGGAATGGCACCTTATTAATATTGAATCTTCCAATCCATGAACACAATGTCTCTCTCTACCAATTTAGGCATTTTAAAGTTTCTCCCAAAAATATTTTAAAGTTTTCTGTATAGAGATCTTTACATTTTTGCTACATTTATTCTCAGATATTATTTTGAAATATTTATTTTATTATTTAAATGTTAAGTCCAGTTGTTTGTTGTCAGCAAATAAATATTCAGCTGGTCTTTGAATATTGATCCCATACACTGTGATTTAGCTAAACTTACTTATTAGATCTTGTAGGATGTATTTTTGTAAATTCCTTGGGAGTTTTTATAAACACCATGTTCTTTATAAACAAACCTAGTTTTACTGCTTCCTTTATGATTTGTATGCCTTTTTTCCTTTCTTTCATTCATTTTTTTCTTTTTTCTTGTATTTTTCTTTTTTTCTAATTTTTTGTTAACATTTCTTCATTTTTGACACAGAGCGCGAGAGGGGAGGGGCAAAGAGAGAGGGAGACACAGAATCTGAAGCAGGCTCCGGGCTCTGAGCTGTCAGCACAGAGCCCCATGCAGGACTCAAACCCAGCAACCGCGAGATCATGACCTGAACCGAAGTTGGTCGCTCAACCCACTGAGTCACCCAGGTGCCCCCTTTTAACAAATTTTTAAATTGTACTTGCCAGGGTATCCCATAACATGGTAAATAAAAGTGCTGATGCTGAACATTCTCACCTTGTTCCCAATTTTAGGGGAAAATTGATTTTGATATCAGTTATACAAATTTTGCAAATACATTTCATTAGATTGAGATCATTCCCTTCTCTTCCTATTTAAAAATAATTATATTGCTGAAGTTTTCTTCTCTTTCTAGTTTGTGGAGATTTTTTTTTTCCCTGAATGAATATTGCTTTTTCTGCCTCCATTGAGACAATCATATGGTTTTTCTTTTCTTTTATTGATGTGGTGAATTATGCTAATTTTCTAATGTTGAATCAGTCTCTCATTCCCGGGAAAACCTCTACTTGGTCATGGGGGTTACATTTTGCGCAATTCAATTTTCTAACATTTTGTTGATGATATTTGAGTTCTTGTTCATAAAGTAAATTGGTTAGATATTTCTTTTCTTATAAAGTACTTGTGAGGTTTTGGTGTCAGGGTTATTCTTGCACCCGTAAAACAAGTTGAGAAGTTAATATGCACTTTAAACATTGCGGTAGTTTTGACAAGGCCACATGCATGTCGTATTGGACATTCAATTCATTTTTGTTTAGTGTTTACATGGTTACATGTGATGAAAATCCCAGTTTTGGGGGCATCTGGGTGGCTCGGTCGGTTAAGCATCTGACTTCAGTTCAGGTCATGATCTCATGGCCCATGGGTTCAAGCCCACATTGGGCTCTGCACTGACAGCTCAGAGCCTGGAACCTGCTTCAGATTCTGTGTCTCCCTCCCTCTCTGCCCCTCCCCCGCTTGTACTTTGTCTCTCTTTCTGTCAAAAATTAAAAAATTTAAAACAAAAGAAAATCCCAATTTTCAAAGGCATGTAAATAAATTCTTATTTGTTCACTATAATCCAAATACCTCTTCCTGTAGTCTAGAGTAAATGATTTTTTTTTAATTAGGAAATTATGTGTTTTTTAATAATAAAAATATATTTGAAATTTGAGATATGATAACCTGTCTAAAAATATGTCTTGCACTCACTGCCTTTGAATATCTGAACCGTAATCTGTGAGCTTTCTAAAAAGAATAATTCTAGATTGATAAGAGACTGGCCAGTGAGAGGATCTATAACAGAGCAAATTTGGGGACCCTGCTGCCACTGGACCCAGCGCACCTTCCATTCCAGCACCTGCCTTGTTCAAGTGGGCTGGGAGCTAGCATTTTAAGTGTTCTAACTGATATAGTCCCATAGTAAATATATATTTAGACTTCTCTCATCCAAAATGGAAGTTTGGGAGCCTGGGGATAAATACAGGATGTCGGTAATAAAGGATGGATATGGCAGATATTAAATAAATACAAATATATTACATAGCATAAGGGTAGACATTATCGTAGCCGGCCAATTTGAATTTTTAAACAGAGACAGTTATCCTTTAGAGATTTATATTACTTGATGGAAAATGTACAGTTTTCATGAGTACCCTTTGTATCAACTGTGCAGAGTTCATGCAAAAAAAAAAAAAAAACAACAAAAACAAACCAAAAACAAACAAAAAAAAAACCGGAAGTTAAAATTTTTAGAAAACAGGACAAAAAGAAGGAGGGAAATGATTGTGTGACTTAATCTTTCATATTCAATCACTTTATTCTTTCATTGATACAATACACCCTCTTTGAAAACTTGCTATGTTCGGTTTCTGTGCTGGTATTATTAAAACACCCACCCTACCTCCTCTATGCTCAAACACAAATAGAAACAAAAACAAGAATCTCTTTATTTTAGGTTCTTGTCAAAAAAAGCACTTGAGCAATCTCACTACCTCACTTCCTATACATCCAGAATAAGAGCTAATGAAAGTTTTATAAAAGGGAAGGGTGGAGAGAACAAAAAAGTTTTGATAGAGAAGCTTATGTTCAGAAGCTTTGGTCTTTTCATCATTACGTCAAATGTAGAAATTCTACTAACTTTTGATTTGTTAATAGAATTGTATTTGATAGAGCATATATACTGATTGAAAATATTTACAGTTCTACTCTTTCAGATCCCTAACAAATCAGAACTCTAAAAATCATGTGAAAATTAGGGGTTCCTGGGTGGCTCAGTCGGTTAGGCGTCAACCTCGGCTCAGGTCACATTCTCATGGTTTGTGGTTCGAACCCACGTCGGGCTCTGGGCTGACAGCTCAGAGCCTGGAGCCTGCTTCCAATCTGTGTCTCCCTCTCTCTGGCCCTCTCCCGCTCATGCTCTGTCTCACTCTCTCTCTCTCTCAAAAATGAGTAAACATTAAAAAAATTTAAAAACAATATGTGAAAATTATATATTGAACACATGTTTGCAACATTTTTCTAGAATGAAAACCATGACGTATTAGATAATATTCTTGGGCTTAAAAATTACTATTAGTTAGAGATTCAACATATACACACTGCTTTTTAAATGATGGACTGGTTATCCTAGTCTGACATTACAAAGATTCTCTTCGTCCCTTCTTCCTGGATTGCCTCCTTCTTTTCTGCTCACATTTACTTGTGAAATTATTTCCATCAGTCAGATTGAGAAAAATGACTGTCGCTCCAAACAGCATTCTGGCATTTTCTATCAGAAGTTGCTGCCTCCAAAAAAGCATTTCGAGACAATATGAACGTTAAGTGCTCCGTCTGCCTTTTTTTTTGTGTGTATACCTTCAATCTCACTTTTTTCCAGTCCCTGATCCCAGCCTGTAAATGTTCTCAGAGCCCTTTTGTTCTTGAAATTTCTTTTTTCTTAAAAAAAAAAATTATCCTTAAAATTTTCCCAGAGCATGCTGTTTTCTCCTTCTCCTCCTCTCCCACTTACTCTACAAAGTCTTTGAGGTGGGTGCCAGATACTTCTTGTTTCATTCCCTCTACCCTCATGCATTCTTGAAAAAGTGTATGAATTTTGTTGTAGTTCTCTGTTGGAACCCTTCTCTTGAAGTGCAACAATGATCTATGTTATTTGTGACTTCTCAGTCACACAGGACGGAAGCTCTATTCACCTTAGAGACTATATTCACTTTATAGGTGACAGAAGCTCTATGCACCTTTCTTAAAAAATATGCTTGCAAACGTGAAGGGTCCATCAGGGTTAAAATGTGGTCCCTCTCAGGAAATCTTTCTTTATGCTGTGGCAGGGTGACCCTTGGCATGTCACAATTTACAGCGCCTTTGCAACTTTCAAATCTCAGAGAATGAAAAAAGTCACATTCCTGACTGCAATATTTCAAACTTCTTCATTACTATATTTTTAAGGTGATCTGTGACCATTGATCTTTGACATTACTGTTGTAATTGTTTGGGGTACCACAAACCACCCCTACATAAGAGAGTGAACCCACTCGATCAATCTATGTGTTCTGACTACTCCACCAACCAGTCATTCCCTCATCTCTTTCCCTCTCCTCAGGCCTCTCTATTCCCTGAGACACGACAGTATTGACATTAGGCCGATGAATAACCCTACAATGACCTCAAAGTGTTCATGTGAAAGGAAGAGTCACGTATTTCTCACTTTAACTCAAAAGCTAGACATGATTGAGCTTAGTGAGGAAGGCACGTCAAAAGCTAAGATAGGCCAAAAGCTAGGCCTCTTGTTCCAGACAGGTAGCTAAGTGGTGAATGCAGAGGCAAAGCTCTTGAAGAAAATTCCAGTCTTTTAGGGGGCCTGCGTCTCCAATCCCTACTTCTTTCCCTGGCTCTAATGCTCCTAATCTGTTTGAACCCTGAATTTTGTTGACTTTATCATCATCCCACTCACTTGGGTGAGACAGAAAGGCTAGAGGGAGCTGAAGTGTCAAGAATTCTCTTCTGTCAACAAGAATAAGGCTCTGGCAAAGTGTTTTCCCCTAAAGAGTAGATGTTTGTTATGGAGAAGTTTCTAGGAGTATATCTCACAATGGTTTCCTTCTTCTCCCTCAGAGATAGGCAGAGACCTCTGGAGGGTAGATCTTTGCCATGAAAATCTGGTGAGATTTCTAAACATAAACCCCATACAAATGTAGGGGATCCCTAGGACTGTGTCCTCCAGAAGTTTCTTGCTGTCAAGCTAGTCTATACCTAGTTTCCAGCAATTCATCAAAATTAGCAGTTAAGTGTATCCATCATTGTGTGGCTCCAGCAGCTTTTGAATTAGTAGATCTCATGTATGACTCTTGATAGACTCTTGGGATGT